AGCAATCTCAAGAAGACCAAGAACGGATAAAGCGATTCTCCGAGGAAAATGGGGTTCTGCTGTACGACAACCTTGTCTACGTCCCCACCAACAAGCTCCGTGCTGAGATCTGCCGGGACATGCATGACACGCGTTTGGCAGGACACTACGGCATGTCAAAGACCCTGGAGCTCATCTCACGCAACTACTGGTGGCCTAGCCAGTGGCGTTTTGTCAAGTCCTACATCAGGTCCTGCAACGTATGTGCTCAAGCCAAGACCAGCAGACACAAGCCCTACGGTCTCCTCCAACCCCTGCAGGTCCCTGACCGCCCCTGGGGGTCAATTTCCATGGACTTCATCACGGATCTACCCGCCAGTGATGGGGTTGATTCTGTGCTCGTTGTCATCTGCCGGTTCACCAAGATGGCGCACTTTGTACCGTGCAGGAATACTGCCACCGCTGAGTCAACTGCAGATCTGATCTGGCACCATGTCATCCGGCTCCATGGACTCCCCGATGATATTGTATCTGACCGTGGCCCACAGTTCAACTCCCACTTCTGGAAACGTCTCTTCGCTCTCCTGGGAACCAAGGTCAACCTCTCATCGGCGTTCCATCCCCAGAGCGATGGACAAACCGAGCGGACCAATCAGATTCTTGAGCAATACCTTCGCTGCTTTTGCAACTATCAACAAGATAACTGGAAGGAACTCTTGTCTTCTGCTGAGTTCTCTTACAATAACACCATCCACTCCGCCACCCAGACAACCCCCTTCTACACCAACTATGGGTTCCATCCTCGATTCAGTCTGGCTTCCGCCACCACAACCGAATCCCTTAATCCTGCAGCCGAAGCTCGTGCCAACCATCTCAAGGAAATCCATGAACAGCTTGCCACTGAGCTCAAGGAGGCCCAAGGACGCATGAAGCGCTTTGCCGATGCTAAGAGGGCACCTGGCCCAGACATGAAACCCGGGGACAGTGTCTGGCTCTTACAAGCGGAATCTCAAGACTCTCCGACCTTCCCAGAAACTTGATCACCGTAAGATTGGCCCCTTCACAATCACGGAGAAGATCAACTCGGTCACATATCGCCTCAAGCTTCCCCCATCCTACAAAATTCACAACGTCTTCCATGTCTCCCTTCTTGAACCATGTTTCACCATTCCGGAGCGAACTGAGCCAGAACCCACCCCACCAGAAGAAGTCGAAGGACAGGAGGAATGGATTGTGGAAGACATTCTTGACTCCCGTATTCGACGCACGCACCTTCAGTACCTCATCAAGTGGCAGGGTTGGCCGAGCTCGGAGAACACATGGGAGCCAGTGGAACACCTTGCCCGATGTCAAGAGCTTGTTGCCCAGTTCCACCAAAAGTACCCCGACAAACCCCGACCAAAGCCTGCCAACATCAAAACAACATCCGGACGCCGTGGCTAAAGGAGGGGGTGATGTTATGGACGACGCGTCCATACCATGCGCTTACCTCATGACAGCATCCCAACAGTCAGTCAATGTCAATTCCCTGTCAAAACCTGACATCTGCCAAACCTCGCAGCCGCACGCAGCCGCGCTACCCCACACCTGCCACTGCCTTCATTTCTCCACGCAGCCGCGCTACCCCACACCTGCCACTGCCTTCATTTCTCCACGCAGCCGCGCTACCCCACACCTGCCACTGCCTTCATTTCTCCACGCAGCCGCACGTAGCCACACCTCCCAACACTCGGCGCTTACAAACCCTTCTCCATACTTCCCCACGTACCCGCCCACAGCCTCAGCGTAGCCACCCCATCCCCAGTCTTCTGTTTCCATACTTCCCCACGTACCCACCCACAGCCTCAGCGTAGCCACCCCATCCCCAGTCTTCTGTTTCTATGCTTCCCCACCCTTGGCGCTTCTCTTGGCTTCCCTCTCATTCCGTACCCTTCTGCTTCCCCACGCTTCCCCAGCCTTCCCAGAAAAACATAAATAGCCGCCTCCCCTGAGCTCCCCACTTCCTGATCCCCCAGCAGATCAACACCAGTTCTTCCTAGTCTTGTTCTAGTTCTTGTTTCGGTCTGAATACCATTACCTGTCAACAACCTGCACCACAAGTCGCCTCTATTTCCATCGGCTCCGCCCATTCATAACAGCCCCCATCCTTGCTCACCCTGACCCAGAGAAGCCCTTCGTCGTCGAAACTGACGCCTCCGACTTCGCTCTTGGCGCAGTTCTCCTCCAACCTGACCAGGACAATCAGCTCCACCCCGTGGCCTTCCACTCTCGCAAATTCACGGCCGAAGAGATCAACTACGAGATCTACGACAAGGAACTTCTGGCCATCCAAGACTCCTTTGCCCAGTGGCGACACCATCTCATTGGCGCCCGTCACAAGATCACCGTTTACTCCAACCATAAAAACCTTCAGTACTTCATGACCACCCGCACCCTGAACCGCCGCCAAGCCCGCTGGTCGATATTCTTCTCGGATTTTGACTTTGTCATTACCTATCGCCCCGGTTCCCAGCAGCACCAAGCCGATGCCCTCTCCCGACGCTCCGAGCATGAGCTCAAAAAGGGGTAAGAAGCGTTCCGCTCCCAGGCAACCACAATTTTGACTCCCAAACGCCTTCGACTCTCCGCGGCCTACCTCACACCCATGGATACCACGCTGCTTGACAAGATTAAGGCCGCCCAGGCCTCTGATCCCCTCGCTAAGACCATTCGCGAAAAGCTCAAGATACCCCTTGCCCAACGAACCGAGGAAACCCAAGATCGTATCAAGCGGTTCTCAGATGAAGATGGGATCCTGCTGCACGATAACCTGGTCTATGTCGCCACCAACAAGCTCCGAGCTGAAGTCTGCCACGACATGCACGATACACCCCTAGCCGGCCACTTTGGAATGTCCAAGACGCTCGAACTCGCCTCCCGCAACTACTGGTGGCCCAGCTGGTGGCGCTTCGTCAAGGCCTACGTCAAGTCCTGCGATACCTGTAGCCAAGCGAAATCCAGTCGACACAAACCATATGGTCTACTCCAGCCCAACAGTATCCCTACCCGCCCTTGGGGATTTTGGTCCCTGGACTTTATCACTGGTCTGCCTCCCGTGGACGGGTACGACTCCATCCTGAACGTCAACTGTCGCCTCACCAAGATGGCCCACTTCATCGCCTGCAGCGGCTCAGAATCCGCCGAATCCACCGCCGACCTAGTCTTCCACAACATCATCCGTCTCCACGGCCTCCCCGACGACGTCATCTCTGACCGAGGACCCCAGTTTAAGTCCCGGTTCTGGCGTCGACTTCTCAAACTCCTTGGGGCAAAAGCCAACCTCTCCTCGGCCTTCCACCCCCAGAGCGATGGCCAGACGGAACGCACCAACCAGATCCTTGAGCAGTATCTCCGATGCTTTTGCAACCACCGACAGGACAACTGGAAACAGCTTCTGTCGTCCGCCGAGTTCGCCTACAACAACACCCACCAGTCCGCCTCCCAGACCACCCCCTTCTACGCCAACAAGGGTCTCCACCCCCGCTTCAGTTTCGCGGCCTCTGCTACCTCCGAATCCGTCAACCCTGCCGCTGAAGCCCGCGCTAAGCAAATCAGGGAAGTCCATGAACAGCTCGCCCTCGAGCTCAAGGAAGCCCAAGATCAAATGAAGCGCTACGCCGACGCTAGACAAATTCCTGGACCGGACTTCAAGCCTGGCGACCACGTCTGGCTCCTCCGCAAAAACCTCCAGACAACCCGGCCCTCTCAGAAACTCGACCATCGCAAGATTGGGCCATTCCCCATCGTTGAAAAAATCAATCCCGTCGCCTACCGGCTCAAGCTCCCGCCTACGTACAAAATCCACGATGTCTTCCATGTCTCGCTCCTCGAACCCCGCTTCACCATCCCCGAACGACACGAACCCGAACCCGCGCCCCCAGAGACCGTTGAGGGTCAAGAAGAGTGGGTTGTCGAAGCCATCCTTGACTCTCGCATCCATTGTCGTCGCCTTCAGTACTTGGTCAAATGGCAGGGCTGGCCTGACTCCGAGAACACCTGGGAGCCCGTGGAACACCTCACCCATACCGACGCACTCCTCCAGGACTTCCACAGCGCGTACCCCAACAAGCCTTCCTCTGTCCCCGTAGCACCTCCTCTGCGGCCACACCAAACTCGACGCCGCCGCCGCCGCCGCTAAAGAGAGGGGTGATGTTATGGACGACGCGCCCATACCGATAAGCTTACCTACTGACAGCCGCCAATGTCAACCGCCAAATGTCAAACGCCAATGTCAATGTCAATGTCAGTGTCAATGTCAGTGTCAATGTCAATGTCAATGCCACTCCCCCTCTCTCCTCTCATTTCGCCAATCCTCTTGCAATATCGCCACTCCTCCTCTCTCCTCTCATTTCGCCAATCCCCCCTCGGCTTCTCCACACCCCCCACTGCTTCCCCATAGCCAGCAGCTGTAGCAATGCTCTCTACGCTCGCCACGCACGCTCTAGGAGCATAGCTGGCACCCCCCAGTCCCCTCTTGTTGTTGTTGTTCTCTGATCTGCTGGGTTGCCTATCTATAAATAGCCGGCCTCTCTTCGTCCATTCCCTTCCTCCCCAGCAGATCAACACCAGTTCTTCTCATCTCCTGTTCTAGTCCTTGTTTCTTGTTTCGCCAATACAATCTCTTGTCGCCTATCACACTTGCCCTGTCTTCTCTACTTCGCTTCCGCCCCGTTGTCGAGATCATAACAATGCAACTCACCTAAAAATGGCATTGCGTCCACCGCAAGGCTGTATGCAAGCGGTTCATCCTGGGGAGGAAACAGAGCCCATCTCGTCGAGGAGAGTCCGCTCAAGTCGTGTGAGGCCGGCAAACTCCTCTGCAGTTGGATACTCTTCAAATGTCGCGTACTTTGTGAATTGGCGGACACGACGATAATAGTGTCGCCGCTGCGCTCTCCGGAGATGCAGTACAACTTGCTTCAAACTAGGCCGTTCATTGACATAGCGCAGAAATATTTTCATAAAATGCTCCTGTACGTTGACTTTGAGGTTGGTGAAGATGCTTGTAGCTGTGTAAGCTGCCGTCTGTTGGCTATTTCGCATGCGGATGGGGGCGAATCCGTGAACATTACAGTACTCTTGAACCCGTGGCCGCAACTCTTGCGCGATGACCGGATTGCCGTTGTAGCCCGGATTGTTTAGTAGCTCAAATATCACGCTGATGTGCTTGTCGGTGATGTCCGGGAAATCGTGTAGAGGATGATCAGCTGTGGTGGGTTGGGCAGGTCTAGCAGTCAGGACATTGTTTTATGGGAAATATCCAGTATAGTGTACCCAAAAAACTCACCAAGGTAGTACTTTAGAAAGAAGGTGGTGTGGCGCGCAAGGACGTGAACATCGGCGATGAAGGTTGTTAGGCACTCCCTTTGCACTTGATTGTGATTTTGGATTCGGTAAAGGGAAACCTTTGTGCTGGCACGCGTCTGCAGGCGGGGTCGTTGAGCAGGGGGTGGAGGTGGGGGTGGAGGCGGGGGGGGAGGCGGGGGTTCAAGCACCAGGGATCCGCCCGGTGTGCTGGGAAAAGGGAAAGGGATGGGTGCGGGGACGTTCAACGGACGCTGCAGACCCCTGTCCGCGGGTGAGAGCCCTCGCTGCTGTTGCTGTTGCCCGTCTTCATCGCCAGAACTCTCGCTAACCATGTCTGCGATTGCTTGGGGCAAGTGGCGCTGGACAGATGGTGGGAACTCGAATCGAGGGCGCGGGGGCTGCAATGGCGTCTGTACGGCGGGTGGCAGACGTATGGGCAACCGCGGGGTAACTGGAGCAACCTTCCTCCTCTCCCGCTGTGGTGTGGTTACTCCGGTGAAGATGCCACACCACAGGTGCCCCTGGAGCGCCTGGTGTGATGACATGTTGGGTGTGCTGTGCCTTTTGCATGCCTGCTAGAGATGAGGTGTATGCAGGTGATTGCTGTGATGGATTGCCGGGAAAGAAGGGGGTTGAAGGAGTAGAGTGGGGATCCCCACGTTTTTTACATGCGTGTAAAGGATGTGGGGTAGCTTTCAGGCTGGCTTCCAGGGCAGCTAGCTGGGCGAGTGACGGCGAGTGACGGCTATGGCAGCAAAGTACAGTATGTCAAGTTGGCAAGCGCTACACTGCGCTATATACTAACCCTCCCTACATACGCAGTCCAACCACAGTGATTCGCAAAAAGCGAAGCTATGTAAATGTGGGAATCAATATGCGCTTACAGGGAGATTGATGCATTGCAAGCATGTTTTCACCCATAATCATTGGATCTCAGCAGAGATGGAGGTGTGTGGGCGGCGTGAAGTAATGGAAGTCTTCTTCAGAAAGCAGATCCATCATGGTTGTGGCTTCATCACCGGTAGCGTAGTGCCGCTAGACCAACGTATTGCTAAAGCAACATATTAGAGGCTTACCGCGAGACTGCCCCTATTCCGGGCTGCCCCAAGCGATTGCGGACAGACTGGGGAATCTTGATCTTGAAGATGACTTGAAAAGCGATATGATAGCGTATTGCGAGTGCCCATATCCAGGCTACACCTCAAGCGATCGTGAAGGTGACTTGAAAAGCGAATCGCGAACCCGGCGACGATTCCTCGCTGGACTCAAGCGATCGCGGAAGTTGAGATCAGAATGCGGAGCAATGGCGACGGCGACTGCGACTGCGAGGGCAACTGAAATTCGATCTGCAGTCTGAGAGGGAGTGTTGTAAACAACCTGTTTCAGCCACAGCTTCCCTTTATAGTACCGTACCCCCTTTTCCTTCTCGGGATAGAATAGCTGGTGTGGTTGTGTGCAGACCATCCAATCGAATGTCTATAAAACGAGTGGTGTGTGTGAAGGGGAATAAAAAGTAACGAGTTCCACAACACAGATGTGGTAGGAAGGTAAAAAAGGAATCAGAGGGAATATGCGGTCACGTGGGGGGACACGGACGCCGTGGACATGGATCAGAGTAAAGAATGAGGATGAGGATGTACATTGTATGGTTTCGACACTGTGTGGATCGGCCCACGCCAGTAGCACCCAAACCTCTGCGGCGTTTGGCCTTGCCGCTCCTGTCCCATGTTCTCCACAGGCAGACGGCTCCACAGGCGAGGAGAAAAAAACCAGACCTGCTTTCACCCCGGGACTAAGCTGCTTCTCACAATTGCGCACAATTGGGCACACTCCCTCGCACAACCTCTGAAAGCCTTCATCACAGCGCAGGTAATTAGAGGGTTAGGGTTAGGGCTAGGCTTAGGGTTGGGGTTGGGGTTAGGGTTAACCATATCATGAGATAACCCTATATCTCTAGGGTTAGGGTTGGGGTTAGGGTTAGGGTTGGGGTTAGGGTTAACCCTATCATGAGATAACCCTATATCTCTACGTAAATATGCTACGATGAGTGATTAAACCGTTCGCCTTTTCCTTCCTTCCCCTGCTTTCCCTCTGGCCATGTTTATGTTCGCAACATCATCCCGCTCCAGATCCCGCTCCAGATCCCGCTCCTGTCACGACACCCAGACACCTACCGAGATGGAAGTCTTCCCAGCGACGGGTCCCCGCTACCGACCCCCCCAAATCCCGGACGCACCATGCTCCCTCTTCATTCCGAAACTACTTTACAGCCTGCTTAGGGTTAGGGTCTGCAGCCTCTCCTTCCTCTCCCTGCATCTCACCCAAGTCCACCACCTCACCAAAACACAAATGGGTCTGATTTTTGCCACCACGCCCATTGTCGCCCTCATCGGCAACCCACTCGCCACCGCTGCCGCGGATAAGTGGAACCACCGCGAGACTGCCCCTATTCCAGGCGCAGATGTGGTAGGAAGGTAAGAAGAAATCAGAGGGCAGCGGGAAGGTAAGAAGGAATAGGGAATATGCGGTCATGTGGGGGGACACGGATGTTGCGGACATGGATCAGAGTAAAGAATGAGGAAGGATGTATATACGGCGGCTGGCCGTTAGCTTCAATGGGAAATTGTGAATGCGTATGCTTTCAAATAATGTAACAAGAAATATAGGCATACAGAGATAGGCACATGCATATTGAAGGGCCGCCCCGTTCATGTCAATGGACGTGAAGGGGAGGCATCTTGTTGAATACATGATAGCCTTGTCCAATGCCTTTTTGACCCACAGCAGTGCGGTGTGTCCCGGTGTCAGTTATGGAAAAAAGGTTACGACAAACGGGGCCTGACGGGACTCTGCTACCTATTTCTACCCTGCATCGGAAGCATGATGCCAGTTCAAGAGGTCTCAATGGCCCCGCTGTGGACTCGTTTTCCATTTGTGATTTTCATTGGGAGCTTCTGCCTTATGTACTGTATGTGGGTGGGGGCGGCCGCGAAACTCCGCAAGATGGCAGCAATGAGGTCACTAAACGCGGGTCCCAATCGTTACGCGGCGGGGCACGGGAAGTCGGAAAAGAGGAGCGACAGGATTTACAGGCAAGGTGCGCCACGTCAAGCTGTCGAAAGATTGTAGGTGGCCAGATATCTCAGATGTCGACGACCAGCTGCCGTCAATTTGCGTACTTCTTCGGAATGATGTGTCCGTGGGGCGTCGTACCCAGACTTTTGGCCACCTACTGTATATCGCACGCATGGTTTATTGCGTGGTCAAGCCGGCGGCCACAGCGAGAAAACCCGTCCGTCATGTTGTATGAGCTATCCGATCGCATACACAGCATTTGCCATCATCTTCTTTACTTACGGGGAACTTTGCTGACCTACATATCCTTCATTTTGGAGGAAACGTTTAAAATGCTACGGTTTTTTGGAACAATGCGCCAACTGCCACGGCTTTGAACTAAATCGCAGAATGCCACTATTTTCCCGGACACCAGCTGCTCCCGGACACCAGCTCCTACCCGTGCCAAAGGTCTCGTATCTTACTCGACGCCGGACAGTCCAACGCACACGACAGTCCAACGCACTTTTCTTTGGGAATTGCTAAAACGACACCTTGCCATCACTCGCTTGAGGCTGACTGCATTGGGGCGGCCTCGCAGTGGTTTGACTGCATTGGAAACTCCTCTCTCGGAGGTAAACACACGTCCAGTTGGCTCGTAGTGGATAGCATACAGTAGCTTTGTTGTCGTATTAGAAAAGTGCGTTGGACTGTCCAGCACTCTCTCCCAGAGAGTGCCAGAGAGTGCCGCCGGAGCGCCGTCGGCGTGACTGCGGGCGAGTATGATACGAGACCTTGGCACGAGTAGCACCATTCCACAGCCCAGCCAGCGAGATCACTTTCGCAATTGCGCATCTTTTTGACAAGAATCTACTTCACACAAGGACAGGGCTGTTGTGCTTGTGAAGCGGACCTAGTAGCTGGGTTGCATACCTGTGCAAAAAATACTTCAAAACCGTGGCATTTCACGATTTTGTTTTGAAAACCGTGGCATATTAAACGTTTTCTCTTTATTTTGAGATGCTCATATGCGCTTGCAGACTAACATAAAAGACCTGAAATGAACCGCCTGAGAATCGTCGAGTTGCCGGCTGGCGTCACAGGGCAACGGGTAGAAGTCAGTAGCTAAAGCAAGGGTTCTTGAATGAAGGGCAGAACGAGGGGGCTTCCTAAAACCCCGTTGAAAGCATCTATCCTACGATAGCAGCACCGAAAGAATGCCGAAGAGTCGTAAGACTTTCCTATGCCAGAGCCCAGAACCTAAAAGCCTGTCTCAACACGCAAATCCACCCCTCTAATGTGAGTCTCTTAACGCTTCGGTGCCGAACTTGCGCTGCTCTATAGACGGAACGAAAGGGTTTGATGCGGCGGAAATCCCCTGGCTAAGTCCAAGTCGATCATCGATCGGATGGATGCGTTTCCAGCGGTGTGTCCGTGGTCGGAAAGGGAAAAAGCTTTGGGTGAATTGTTTCGAGGGAAAGCCCAACTGCCGAGTGTATCGTGAGGCTCAAGGGTTCTCCCCCTCGACATATCGTTCACTTCCTCTTAGGACGACCCTCCTTTCCCATGAATACTCCTTTGGCGTTGAAGTCACCCGACGGAGGCCCAGACGACGGGAAATACTCCTGAGTCAATGCAGAGAGCCTTCTTGTGAGGACGTCAGCGAGGGTTGGGGAAGAATCACTGGGGCATTTGTCCTTGATTCCTTGCCTCCGACGTAGATTTCCGATTGAATCTATGAACGCAAGTGGCGTTGACATCGGAATGCCCCAAGACGCGGGACAACTTCCAGGCCGTGACTTGATTGAGCGAAATGGGCAAGTGAATGGAGGCAAATCGAGTAGAGAGTTTGCCGTCGAAGACGTCGCGGGACTTGCGATGACCATGTCCACATTCCCACCTTTGTAAGTTCAATCCTGTCAAAAACCTGTCGATTCCGTCGCGTCCGATGAAGATGATGTAAGCAGCTCTTCCCCTGCTCCCCCGCCATTGCCTCGCTCGGAACTTAAAAGGCGACGAGGGGTCAAGTAACTTCCCACTTTGGTTCAACTCGGCTTACCAGCAACATTCTCGCCACGCCTCGTCTAGGAGGAGGAACAAATACGGGTAAGCTATCGCAATGCATTTTTTTCAAACCGGACGGAGAAGGCTCTTTGGTCGGGTTCACTATCCCGGGGCTGTAAACATCATTGCATGCGGTGGAGGCGTCAGCAAGTCTGGCTGTGCGACGGTCCTTCGGGCTGTCGTACGTGTGGTACACCAAGGTCTGGCTATGGCATCCAGATATCCGCCCAGGATTTCAAAGCAGCAACATCTCATGGGCACCGGGAACGGGTTGATAACATGCGGGAACCCATACCTCCTCAACATCACCCATATCTCTTGCTTGACCGTTGTGACTCTTGCCTTCCGATTCTAACATTCCTAGTGTGCCGCATGCCTTGGTAGGCGGCACACCACTTGTTCTTTTAGGGCACATGCACGAAAGAGCTCATGTATTGTAACGTTCGCCCGGCACTGCACGGCATTGAAATAAAGAAAGCCCGAGTGTTCCTCCGCCCGGTCCCAAACCGAGGGAATTAAAAGAGAGAGGCCTTTCACGGAGAAAGGTCTGTTCTCTGCAGCTACCTCCAACCAATCCATAACGACCAATACGCAACTCTATGCTTGGCCGGTCGCTTGACCGTTGCTACGATCGTGGCCCTGCTCGCCGACATCATATCCAAGGGACCGGTCACCGCTCTCGTTCTCCGCGAGACGATCATCATACCAGATCTCGCCGATTTGCTTGTCGTCGGCATCAACGCCATTCCGGACCTGAGAACCATCGACCTGGGATCCATCATCGGCACCGTCCGAAGCGCTGTGGCTCGTCAAACCTTTTGCCCTCTGAACACTGGCACCTTTTGGGGGGGCCATTACCGGCCTGGACCTGTCGAACAACGCTTTGGGATCCGAACTTGCAGACATCTTGAGTTCAATCCTTGGAAAGTGTGTCGCACTCCGAACGCTCAACCTGCATAACACCGGCCTATCAGAAGGTGCCCTCCGCACCATCGCGTCGGGCATCACAGATAGCGAGGGCTGCCATCAACTTCGCACAATAGACGTGGGACGCAACCGACTGGAGTCGGGCTTGAACGAGCTGGCCCCCATTCTGAATGCCAACCAAAACTCGATAGAAACCGTGCGCGCTTTTGCCGTCAATGCAGGCGAAGATGACAGGTCCTTGAAGTCGTTTTTCAGCGCAATCGGGCGTTGCATCGGGATTCAGGAACTGCATTTCAGCGACAACACACTAAGCGGGGGAAACGCTTCACGACTCCTTGAAGTCGTCCGAAATTTCGCGAACCTCCGAATCCTCCAAGTGGCGAATACATGTTTACCGATAAGAATAACTGCCACTTGGATCGCCGCTCTCACCCTGGCGTCGAATGTGAAGAACGAACTGCGGATGAACCATCTTTCAATAACATCCGCCCTCGGCCAGATCTTTACCCTCCAACGTTGTCTAAAAGGTTGTCAGCGTATCCTCCGGCTGATGGCGAGGGATGATGGGCTCCCCAAATTGACAGCACTGCGCAGCGTGTGAAAGACCAGTCCCAACCTCTCCCAACCTTACATCCTTCTCGAACATGCCCACTCTTCCTCATCAGCTTCCCGTTTTTCGTTCAAGCAAGCCGCCCTTCACAAGCTACCCTCCCTTTCGCTACATGCACCACACTTCCTTCACCGCTCGCCGGACAACCCTCCGACGGCACTCCTACAAGCACTGCGAAAACTCCGCTCATTCTCCAAGCCTTGCAGCCGTCGCGTCCTTTTCCTCTACTGCATGGTTACAGCGGAATGCCAACTCCGCACATAGTCACAGCTTGCCTCCGGTCGCCAAGCACTCTCAACCCACCAAGACGGGTATAGACGTGCGGGAATGGTTCTATCATATCGATGTGCACGGCCAGGTAGGGTTACCGCTTTTTGCGAACCAAAAAATGGGACGGTTGGAGAACTTCGGCGTCGGCGTCATCTTGAGCTCATCTCGTCCCTTTCTTTGTCATCCCTAGCTATTCCTACACGGGACCCGAACCAGGAACTTTACCACATGTATGTTGAAGCTATGGTGACGAGGGGATGGATGGCGCCCCCGCGGCATAAGTTCGCAAGGTGACAGCTCGCTAACTGCATCCGCAGGCTTCAAAGATCCCAAATTCCTCGACTTTTTCTTCTCCCGACTCCAGCTCTGGCCCCCGTCCGCAAACCACGGTCATGCCAAACCACGTTCTCCACCGCCAGACGTGTGTGCCGATGAATACCTTTTCGCCAGTCCGTGCGGCCGCGAGATGAATTGGGTTGCAGTTGAAGACTCCCCCATAGTGTTTCACAGCATTGTCAGAGACGGAGGCTCGCCCAAGACGCAGTATGAGCCGCAGGTGTATTTGCAGTATGCAGGAAATCTTCGGCTACCATTCGACCCGGATGCACTCTACATGTCTGAACGGACCGGCCGACTCTATCACTCCTTGCTGCCGAGGGGCATACATGACATTGCCGGTCTGACGACACTACCTCCACCGAAATGGATGCTTCCGCCTCGGCCCGCCACTAAATTTGTACAATTACCACGGGCCCATCTGGCGGGGTTACCGCCCTTGGGACTGATACGTTCCTCGTTAGTGCTTTCCCATTTTGCGCCCTGTATAGATTTCAGCACGCTGTGCCTTCGGAGCTTTCCGCCTGTTGGTCCTGGCGATGCGGTGGGGAATTCAGGCATTTTGCCAGGGAAGGAGAAGGCGACGCATCAGATCACAACCATCGCGGACGAAATCATGGATGCGGACTAGCTGCTCCTGGCCGTCTTGAGGAGATTTAGTAGCAAACGGGTCGCTTCGCCAGTTTTAATGGGACAGACTCTTCACCCGTTGGACGGCATCGGCGTTCCGATGGAGGTTGCGCTGGCACGCGTCCAGCGACGGAGGGGAAGGAAGCGCTTACCCGCGCAACATCAGAAAACTATCTCAACAACCAAGACTACCGCTCAGTAACGTTGTCACAATGGTCAATCGTTCATCGCGCCTCCGCTTCGATAATGTGGAAACGTGGCTACGACCTTCCGACCTGATTGGATTGCAAATGCTTAGCTAGATTCCTTGAGTTCAGATACACAGCCAGACATAGCAAACCACAGCGACGACAATGGTGTACATGAATCTCCATAATCAGTTCCTATTCCTCATTTCGAATCTCAAAAGGGCATTGGCGATACATTCACCCATCCTATCATACCCAGCAGCGGTCAAATGCATCCCATCATCCCAGAAAATATCCCTCTCCTCCCCCGCAAGTGCGAACTGAGGCACATCGCAACGAATGTCATAGAAAAACCAGCCGTCGCACGTCCCTTGAAACCCTTCAATGAGCCCGTTGAGTCGTTTGACCTGAGCTGCGATCCAGCCATCCCTTTGCTCGACATCCCACTCCAGGCATGAAAGAGCGATGACCTTGGATCCGTGCCGCAATGCCATAGACCAAAGCTCCTTCAGCCCACTGAAGATAGCCACCGCATCTATTCTATACCCGATATCATTGATCCCTCCGAGAATGACAACCCAATCGTACGTAAAACCCTCCTGCTCAGCTTCGCGTAGACGCATTTCCAAACGGGAAACGAACGTGCCTGGTGAAAGGACACGATCCCCGGATCTGCCATCGGTGGTGACTGTAAAAGAAGCGTCCTTGAAACGTGGGTAGTTCAATAAAGAGCGCTCCAGGGTTAGACTGTAAGGATGGAAGGCCGTGCCGTAATGATGATAACCCTCCGTAAGCGAGTCTAAACACAAAAGAACATCGGTCAGGATACTCCAGTAGGGAAAAACTTTCACATACTCGTAAAGCGTTGCTGGAGGAGCTGGTGGAATTGGTCGGGCCGCAGGGGAATCTTTCCACCACTGGTTACGGTCCTTTACCCGTGGCATCTTCTCTGCCCGTCTGCTCCTCTTTCTCACCCGAAGGTTTCGTGTGAAAACCCAACCCAATGGAATCCGCCACGCATTGCAGCATCACCCACAACAAGATGAGCACAACCATGCAAGACGACGGATGCACTCACCGCCTACGCAGAGGATTCGAAACAAGGGAGACATTAGGCGGCTGGAATCCACTACTCCACTCTCAAATTGAACAGTTGGTCCCTTGCGAAATCAAGCCACGTTGCACGCCAGAGTGGAGGGAGTTGCAGGAGTTGCTCCTGGGAGTTGCCGAGAGTGAGGCAACCCAGCACAGACCCTGCACCGCCACATGGACCGCGTCGCCGTCACTGTCAGTATATATACTAGCAAGCTGCTCGACGTTTTTCCCAGCTTCCTTCGGACAAACGTTGACAACGGACACCCAGACCAACATATGAACATAGGGTAAAAAATTAGCATCACCTTCACAGGGATGCTTTTAGCAAGGAGGATGCTTTTCAAGGGGCCTCAAGGTGTACGTTTTTGACAAAAACATACAGACACAGCGGGTGGAGACCACAAGGAAGAGGGGGACTACTATAGTAGAGAACGTGGAGAAACACCTATAGCAGAGCACAGTCAGCGCCACTTCTATGCGTCAAGCAGCTACTTCAATACTCTATAGTTTCCTAGACGCGTCCTAAGTCTTGCAGAGCCTTCCACGTGCCGCATCTTGATGCTATCTCAATACTCCCTCTCACTTGAAGGCTCTGCAGCCTCTAAGTGCATACCAGATGTGTGAAGTCTGGCATGGGCAGGGGTTTGGTGAGCGCATCAGCCAGCATCTCCTTTGTTGGGCAGTACTGAAGGATAACTGTCTTGCGTGCGACTTGTTCACGAATGAAGCGGTATGTGATATCGATATGTTTGGTTTGTGCGTGACGAACTGGGTTCATAGCAAGTGCCATAGCGCGTTGATCGTCCTCCCAGATGCCTGTGGGGCCTTGGACGAGCCCCGTCTTGTTTTGGTGCATGCTCAGTTCTCTGAGTAGAGATCTGAGGCTCACCACATGGCTTCTTTACAGGCGTCTGTGAGTGCCATGTATTTGCCTTCAGTGCTGGAGAGTGCCGTAGTGCATTGTTTGCGCGATTTCCAACGATTTCCAGCAGTGGAAGTTGTGGTGTTTGATCGTCTTGAGATGGGCTAGGATGCGTTTGGCAGCTCTCCAGTGTTGTTTGCCTGGATTGGCTAAGAACGGGCTCAGGTGTAATGTGGAGTGTCTGGTCTCATTGGAGAACGACACGTCGCGTCTGTTAGACAGGCCTTGGGGAAAAATACCTGTATGTGATGGGAATATACAGGTATTTCCTGGCCTACGACGCGTCTCGACAGTGTTCTCCAGTTGGCTCCGACCTCATGGTACTTTAACAGTGCTCGTCGCGCATTCCTGTGCACAACAAGTAGTTCTTCTACTACATATCGCATAGCAGAGCCGACGAACACCCAGTCCGTCTACAATACCTTACAGCAAAGTAGTTATTGTATACAAACATCAGTTAAACAACCCGTGTGGAAGGTAGTCCACATCACATGGTAGCACCACTCGTTTTGAGCAAAACGAGCTTCATAGTAGATAAACACGTGGGCAACTTCAGCATCTCAAATTTGCGGATGGAGGAAAAGTCTTTCAGTTTCGGGACAGAGCTAAGCCGTTAGATTTCTTCTTGATCCCGTGTTGACAATCTCCCTCGAGGAGCTCAACGCCCGAATCAATGCTGTGGCGGCTGCAATGTAGCAATACGTCTGCTGTGGGGGCGCGCCTGTGCCGGCCAGACGACACTGAAACCGTTTTGAAGACTAGGCCTGAAGCACTGCAACTGCAACCCGATGCGTTGATCGCACGTTGTGCATTTGTAGTTCATGGCAAATTGAATGGCAAGTTTTGTCGCATTCTGATCGATACGGGATGCACAACACTGATGGTACGTCAGGGATGGGTGTCGAAACATGGTTTCCAAACCCATAACCCTAAAATGCCCATTGATGTTGCCTGGGGCGACGACGGCCATACATTCAATGCCAACAAGTTATTTTGTGGCGATCTACAGTTGTGGGGAGATGGACGACACTATTCCAGAGAACAGCTTCCATTTGTGGTCGCTCCTCTGCGGGTAGATGTTATCCTCTGATTGCCATGGATCTATATGCTTGACGATGTTCGTTTTGAGCACATAGAGGATGAGATTCCTGTTCTACAATTCCGTACAGATGAAGTTGAACACACCCTAGTTGCCAGACCGGTAACAAGGAAGTGGGAATCCCAGTCATCCTGTAATGCGGCCGATCTGCGGTCCTTTGACATCAGAAAGAAGTCTAAACGACTCAAGGCGGCGATGCCTGAACGAGAAGACTCGAGTGCAGGATTGTAACTTATCAGAAGTTCACTCGCTTTTCTCGAAAGAAGGTGTATGGGAAGTGTTACATAGCGTACGCTATGGACATAGAAGCTGCAGTGAATGCGTCACCAGCTTATGTCCCCGCAGATGAGCGCGATCGCGCCAAACTAGAGCCAGAGGTTCAAATGAGCGAAGCTGCAGGACAGAAGGTTGATTTGGGCGTCCCGTCCGACCACCTTCTTTATCCAACGTTGGAGAAGTACGTGGATAGTTTGTTTGTCGAGCACACAGAGTTGCCGCCCAATAGAGGAGAGGATAACTTCCATATCGAGCTGGAGCCTGGTACGAAACCAGTCTTTAATCCTTTACGGCATATGAGCGAAGCCAAACTCAAAGAGCTTGATGAGAAGGTTACCCTCATGCTCGAACGCGGTTGGATTCAGCACTTGCGGAGCCCGTGGGGCACGGCGGTGTTATTTGCCAAGAAAAAGGATGGCAGTTTCCGTATGTGCATCGACTATCGTGGGCTGAATAAAGCAACGATAAAGGATCGTACGCCGTTACCAAATCTTGCAGAAATGTGGGATCGGGTATGTGGGAAGAAGTTCAAGTCTTTGTTGGATATCAAAGATGAGTATCACCGCCTCTTGGTTTGCAAGGCTGATAGAGACAAAACAGCGTTTCGGTTGCGGTTTGGTTATTTCGAGTACTTGGTTATGCCATTTGGATTGACAAATGCGCCAGCAACGTTCCAACGGTTAACCAATAAGATGTTGGGGAAGATGTACGATGCGTATGTCATATCTTACCCGCATGATATCTTAATCCTCTCAGAAACGGCCGAGGAGCATATCGCTCATGTGGACAGCATTTTGGCTGTTCTCACCAAGCATAAACTCTATGTCAAGCCTTCCAAGTGCAAATGGATGCAGAAAGAGCTTGAATTCTGCGGCCATATCCTGGGAGAGGATACGATGGCCATTGCACCCTCGAAATTGGACGCCGTGCGAAACTTTGCACGTCCTACAAAACAGAAAGAGGTCCAATCTTTCTGAGGGTTGACAAATTACCTGAGTCAATACGCTGATCGTTATGCATACATTGCGTATCCATTGACAGAGCTACAGTCGGGCAATAGGCCATGGCGATGTCGAAGAAACAGCTTTTGTTAAGCTGAAGGAAGCTATTATTACAGCTCCTACGCTTGCGTCTTACATCCCAGAGTGAGATTTATACGTGTTCACAGATGCATTGGGTTTTGCGATACGAGGATGGCTCGCCCAGCCAGCGGATCCATCAGAGCATTACCCATCATCGTTGCCTATCTCAGTGAAGGGATTTGAGAATCCGCTACCGTTAAAGCCGATAGCTTTCTTTGGGCAGAAGCTGCAGTCCGCTGAAACACGTTACCCCATGCACGAACAAGACCTGTTAGCTCTGGTTAAGAGATGCAACGCGAATAGGCATTACTTGCAGGATCGGACAAATGCGCGCCCGTTTCGCGCATTCACCGATCACGCTAGTTTGGTCTGGCTGCAGACTCAGCCCTTCCTTAGCCATCGCCAAGCACGGTGGGTTGAATTCCTGCAACATTTAAAATTTGATATTGAATATGAACCTGGTCGCTGGAACACTGTCGCGGATGTGTTGAGTCGTAATCCTTATTTTACGCTCCTCGCTGCGCCGAGTGTAACAAGCGAGTGGAAGTTGCTGCGGCCCTGGGGATGTCCATCAAGTTTATTCCTTTGGGGAATGTTACACTTGAGGATTGGATTTGAACCTTGGAGGCTGATGAGTACTTTGCTTCGCGGAAGGATGCATTGTCACAGCCAAAGGAACGACAGTCTACATTCGATCGACGTTTCGCGATCGATGACTATGGTTGTTTACTGTACCAGGATAAGTTCTATGTGACAGCTGCTTTACGAGGGACTGTATTGCAGGCGTACCACGACTCGTTGCTCTCTGGCTTGCATAGGGGGTACAAGGTACCTTGGGCAAGCTCCTACGTGAGTTTTACTGGCCCGATATGGACGCAGACGTAAGAGGGTACATCAAGACTTGTGGGTCTTGCCAAAGGTTCAAGTCGCCGACGAAGAAGCATGTTGGCTTACTTCGTTCGCATCAAGTTCCCGACCGACGTTGGCACATGATGGGTATGGATCCTGTCTCGATGCCAATAACGTGGTCATGGGGGGGGGAAGGTGCATAGTGATGCGTTCTACGACAATAGTATTGTGTTCATCGACTATCTGTCATCGCGCGCATACTTTATACCTGCAACCTCCACGATAACTGCCAAGGAGTTGGCCCGGCTTTACTTCCATGAGGTATGGCGCCATACAGGTACTGTAGCTGTGATCGTCGGAAATCAAGGTCCCCGCCACCTGGCAGACTTCTGGAAGGTGTTTCAATCGTTGTTAGGCTCTAAGCAGAGCTTGAGCACGGCACGACATCAACAGACGGACGGAAAGGTCGCACGGTGTATCGCTATCTGGAAGAAGATGATTAAACCGTACCTTAATGTAACGGGAGACAATTGGGTTGACAAACTGCCGTTGTTGGAGTTTGCCTAGAACCGTACATAAAACAGCACTGGATACTGCCCTTTCGAGGTTGATTTGGGTAGAATTCCGCAGGCGCCAATGCATTGGCAAGTTGACGCAAAGGTGTTGCAACGTATGGACGATACGTCGATCCCATTCTTGCATAAGTCACAACGTGAGCTCAACGTACGAATGGAGAAATGTGCTGAGGCATACCGATCCATTGAACTCATAGTGCAGCAGAAACTGCGGGAAGCCCAGGACAAACAAGCAAAGTATCACGATCGTGGACGTCGTGTACAGAGCTTTAGTCCAGGATATAAAGTCCTGTTGAACAGCAACGGGATAACGTTCCCGGCTTTCAACGAGAAGCCGCTCAATTTGAGACAGAGCTGGCTCGGACCCTACATCGTTAAGAAGGAAGG